TTTTCTAGTATGTATTTTTAATAAAATTTTCTTTTAGGGTGACTTGTAACATCTTGTCCAGGGACTACGGATGACACATTTACAGGAATGTTTTATTAATGTACAATGTCCCTGTCAACTAAATAAAAAAATAAAAATAACAGTGTTCATTAATGTGAGGTCGGGCCAAGTTGTCACATACAGTAGGTTTTATATGCTGTCAAATTTTTTACTTTATATATTAGTTAAAGTGAGATGATTTAAATAAAGATAAAATATAAATATTAAAAAATAATGAAAAACTAAAATTATTGTATTAAAAATGATTAAGAATTAATTCAAAATGGAAAGAGAAACAGAAATTTTTTTTTATTAAAATTAAAATGAGAAACATTGCCTTGGAAACTTACTGAAATAAAATATGTTTAAGTTTAACTACTATAAACTTGAAAAATAAATCAAAGCTAAATAATATTTAGAATATTTATACATTTAAATATTAAATAGAAGTATGTACTTTATTCATTAGTTACTGAGAAATCAGTGTTTCCATTATTTCTTTTTTTATGCATTTCAATCTGTATTTCATGTTTCATAATTGTTTTACAGTTTAAATTTAGTTGAAAAACCAAATAGCCAATAAAAAAAAGCCAAATTAAAATAGCCAATTAAATAGCCAATAACAAATTTTAGTACACATACTGTATGCTGGAGAAGATGGCTGTCAGTGTCTCTAGTCTCCTGAGGTGTATGTATTAAAGCCCTGCGTTTTCAGTATTAAAATCTATTCAAGTGAAGTTTGAGACTCCTGTGTTCTCCCTTGCCACAACGAACTGTGACAATGGCATGGTCTTGCATTTTTACAAATAAGGTATTCTTCTCAACTTTTTTGAGAATACTGTGCAACTGACAACTTACCCCATTTGTGCCCCACTATGTGTTAACTAAAGTGTATTTTTTGTCACCCTACAATAATTGTTTAATAGTCTTTTTATTTCTCTCTCTCTTTCTATTTAATTTTTTTTTTCTATATTTAAGTTCTTATTTCTACCAGAAGGTGGCACTACAAACTATTATTTCGGGTTCCACAGAAATCTAAGCAGCCACATTACCTAAACTAGTATTCATTTGCTAACAGTAAATCATTTGATTCACTACGCTCTCTTAAGTTTCATAAAACACATTTCTGATGTGGTTTTGACTCAGTAGAGTGTGTGCACTTGAGGACTGAACTAACTATTATCAGAAGTCTAACAGAGGGCTGATTGAGCGTCTGTACCAGTCACACGTTTCTCCATCTCTCACTCCCAGAGACACTGATATCAATACATCCTCCAAACGCTAAACACACGTCTGAACACACACGCTTATGGATTACTACTGTCTCTAATGGTTTGTTTTAGTGCACATAGTACAGATATGCTTTCATTAGATGGATGGATAAACTAGTACTTTTGCATACTGAATGGTTATGCTCCCACTGGTTGATTGAACTAGTTTCAGTATATAGAGAATGGTTATTCTGTAGTTAATTGGATAGTTAAACCAGTTTTAGTTTTAGTTCTAGTAGGTGCAAAATGATTATGCTCCAGTTGGTTGGTTAAATTACTTCATTTTAGCATTTAAAGTATGGTTATGCTGCATTAGGTTGGTTGGCCATACTAGTTTAAGTATGCACAGTAAGATTTGGCTTCCCTTATCGGGTTAAATTGGTTTGTTTTTGGACAGTATGACTAAGCTTTAAATGATTGGTTTGTTAAACTAGTTTTATGCATTTCAATCTGTATTTCATGTTTCATAATTGTTTTACAGTTTAAATTTAGTTGAAAAACCAAATAGCCAATAAAAAAAAGCCAAATTAAAATAGCCAATTAAATAGCCAATAACAAATTTTAGTACACATACTGTATGCTGGAGAAGATGGCTGTCAGTGTCTCTAGTCTCCTGAGGTGTATGCATTAAACCCCTGCGTTTTCAGTATTAAACTCTATTCAAGTGAAGTTTGAGACTCCTGCGTTCTCCCTTGCCACAACGAACTGTGACAATGGCATGGCCTTGCATTTTTACAAATAAGGTATTCTTCTCAACTTTTTTGAGAATACTGTGCAACTGACAACTTACCCCATTTGTGCCCCACTATGTGTTAACTAAAGTGTATTTTTTGTCACCCTACAATAATTGTTTAATAGTCTTTTTATTTCTCTCTCTCTTTCTATTTAATTTTTTTTTTCTATATTTAAGTTCTTATTTCTACCAGAAGGTGGCACTACAAACTATTATTTCGGGTTCCACAGAAATCTAAGCAGCCACATTACCTAAACTAGTATTCATTTGCTAACAGTAAATCATTTGATTCACTACGCTCTCTTAAGTTTCATAAAACACATTTCTGATGTGGTTTTGACTCAGTAGAGTGTGTGCACTTGAGGACTGAACTAACTATTATCAGAAGTCTAACAGAGGGCTGATTGAGCGTCTGTACCAGTCACACGTTTCTCCATCTCTCACTCCCAGAGACACTGATATCAATACATCCTCCAAACGCTAAACACACGTCTGAACACACACGCTTATGGATTACTACTGTCTCTAATGGTTTGTTTTAGTGCACATAGTACAGATATGCTTTCATTAGATGGATGGATAAACTAGTACTTTTGCATACTGAATGGTTATGCTCCCACTGGTTGATTGAACTAGTTTCAGTATATAGAGAATGGTTATTCTGTAGTTAATTGGATAGTTAAACCAGTTTTAGTTTTAGTTCTAGTAGGTGCAAAATGATTATGCTCCAGTTGGTTGGTTAAATTACTTCATTTTAGCATTTAAAGTATGGTTATGCTGCATTAGGTTGGTTGGCCATACTAGTTTAAGTATGCACAGTAAGATTTGGCTTCCCTTATCGGGTTAAATTGGTTTGTTTTTGGACAGTATGACTAAGCTTTAAATGATTGGTTTGTTAAACTAGTTTATTTTAGTATGCACACTATGGTTATCCTTGAAATCATCTGATGGTTAAACTATATTTAGTATGTAGAAAGTAGTTATGCTTCAATTGGTTATGTGTCAGTTGAATAGTTGGTTAAACTAGTTTGTGTCAGCATGCACAGTATGACTTTGCCTTGATTGGTTGGTTAAACTAGTTTCAGTTTTGCACAGTATGTTGAAACTTTAGTTGAAAAGTTGGTTAAACTAGATTGTTTTAGTATGCAGAGTTTAGTTGGATAGTTGGTTTCAGTATACACAGTATGGTTATGCTTCATTTGGAAAGTTAGTTTGTTTCATTTGGAAACTAGTTGTGCACAGTACATTTTTGCTTCAGTTGAAAAGTTGGTTAAACTCGTTTGTTCCAGTATGCACACTATGGTTATGCTTCAGTTGGATAGTTGGTTAAACTAGTTTGTTTTCATGGGCAGTATGACTAAGCATTAACTGATTGGTTAAACTAGTTTGTTTTAGTATGCACAGTATGCCTATGCTTTGGTTGGTTAAATTAGTTTTAGCATGCACAGTACAGTTATGCTCCAACTGGTGAGTTGATTAAACTAGTTTGTTTTCATATGCACAGTATGACTGCTTTAATTGATTGGTAAACTAGTTTGTTTTAGTATGCACAGTATGACTACGCTTTGGTTGGTTAAACTAGTTTTAGTACAGTTATGCTTCATTTGGAAAGTTGGTTAAACTAGTTTGTTTTCATGGGCAGTATGACTAAGCATTAACTGATTGGTTAAACTAGTTTGTTTTAGTATGCACAGTATGCCTATGCTTTGGTTGGTTAAATTAGTTTTAGCATGCACAGTACAGTTATGCTCCAACTGGTGAGTTGATTAAACTAGTTTGTTTTCATATGCACAGTATGACTGCTTTAATTGATTGGTAAACTAGTTTGTTTTAGTATGCACAGTATGACTACGCTTTGGTTGGTTAAACTAGTTTTAGTACAGTTATGCTTCATTTGGAAAGTTGTTTAACTAGTTTGTTTTCACATCCACAGTATGACTATCCTTTGGTTGGTCAAACTAGTTTGTTTTACTATGCAAAGTACAGTTATATTTCAGTTTGAATGTTGGTTAAACTAGTTTGTTTTCATATGCACAGTATGACAATGCTTTGGTTGTTTAAAATGTTTTAGTATGCACAATACAGTTGGTTAAACTAGTTTGTTTCAGTATGCACAGTACGGTTATGCATCATTTAGAAAGTTGGTTTAACTAGTTTGTTTTCAAATGTACAGTATGTCTATGTTTTATTAACGGGATGGTGAAACTAATTTTGGTATGCACTGTATGTTTTTTGTTTCATTTGAATAGTTTGTTAAACTAGTTCATTTTAGTATGCACATAATGGTTATGCTTCAGTTAAAAAGTTGGCTAAACTAGTTTGTTTTTCTATTCACAGTATAATTTCACTTTGATTGGTTACACTAGTTTCTTTTAGTATGAACAGTATGAATATATTTTAATTGATTGGATGGTTGAACTAGATTTAATATGCACAGTACAGTTAAGTTTAATTTGAATACTTGGTTAAACTTGCTTGTAAATGCACAGTATGATTTCATTTTAACTGATTGGTTAAACTAGTTACTTTTAGTATGAATAGTATGAATATGCTTAAATTGGTTGGATGGTTGAACTTGTTTTAGTATGCACAATACAGCTACACTTTAATTGATTGGAAGGTTAAACTAGATTGTTTTAGTATGCACAGTATGGTTATGCTTCAGTTTCATAGTGGGTTAATCTAGTTAAACTAGTTTGTTTGAGTATGTATTGTACAGTATGGTTATGCTTTAGCCCCATGACCGTTCAACTAGTTAAAGAAGTTTATTTTAGTATGCACAATATGGTTATGCTTCAATTGAATAACTGGTTAAACTAGTTTGTTTTCATGTGCACAATATGATTTCACTTTGATTGACTGGTTAAACTAGTTTGTTTTAGTATGCACATTATGACTTTGCTGTAATTGATTGGTTAAACTAGTTTTAATATGCACAGTATGGTTATGCTTCAGCTGAAAAGTTGGCTAAACTAGTTTGTTATACTATTCACAGTATGATTTCACTTTGATTGATTACACTAGTTTATTTTTAGTATAGAGAGTATGAATATGTTTTAATTGATTGGATGGTTGAAATTGTTTTAGTATGCACAGTATGGTTATGTTTCAGATAAATAGTTGGTGTAACTACTTTTAATATGCACGATACAGCTACACTTTAATTGATTGTATGGTTAAACTAGTAAGTTTTAGTATGAACAGTATAGTTATTATGCTTTAGTTGCATAGTTGTTAAGCTAGTTAATCTAGTTTATTTTGCTATGGACATTAAGGTTATGCTTAGTTGAATAATTGGTTAAAATAGTTAGTTTGAGTATACACAGTAGGATTATGCTTCAGCTGTTTTGGTAAGCAGAGTATGGTTAGGTGAATGATCAGTTAACTCTACCTTATGAAGTGGGATAACGAGGAACGCGCCTCCTCCTAGCATGCACAGTACAGTTATGCTCCAACTGGTGAGTTGATTAAACTAGTTTGTTTTCATATGCACAGTATGACTGCTTTAATTGATTGGTAAACTAGTTTGTTTTAGTATGCACAGTATGACTACGCTTTGGTTGGTTAAACTAGTTTTAGTACAGTTATGCTTCATTTGGAAAGTTGGTTAAACTAGTTTGTTTTCATGGGCAGTATGACTAAGCATTAACTGATTGGTTAAACTAGTTTGTTTTAGTATGCACAGTATGCCTATGCTTTGGTTGGTTAAATTAGTTTTAGCATGCACAGTACAGTTATGCTCCAACTGGTGAGTTGATTAAACTAGTTTGTTTTCATATGCACAGTATGACTGCTTTAATTGATTGGTAAACTAGTTTGTTTTAGTATGCACAGTATGACTACGCTTTGGTTGGTTAAACTAGTTTTAGTACAGTTATGCTTCATTTGGAAAGTTGTTTAGCTAGTTTGTTTTCACATCAACAGTATGACTATCCTTTGGTTGGTCAAACTAGTTTGTTTTACTATGCAAAGTACAGTTATATTTCAGTTTGAAAGTTGGTTAAACTAGTTTGTTTTCATATGCACAGTATGACAATGCTTTGGTTGTTTAAAATGTTTTAGTATGCACAATACAGTTGGTTAAACTAGTTTGTTTCAGTATGCACAGTACGGTTATGCATCATTTAGAAAGTTGGTTTAACTAGTTTGTTTTCAAATGTACAGTATGTCTATGTTTTATTAACGGGATGGTGAAACTAATTTTGGTATGCACTGTATGTTTTTTGTTTCATTTGAATAGTTTGTTAAACTAGTTCATTTTAGTATGCACATAATGGTTATGCTTCAGTTAAAAAGTTGGCTAAACTAGTTTGTTTTTCTATTCACAGTATAATTTCACTTTGATTGGTTACACTAGTTTCTTTTAGTATGAACAGTATGAATATATTTTAATTGATTGGATGGTTGAACTAGATTTAATATGCACAGTACAGTTAAGTTTAATTTGAATACTTGGTTAAACTTGCTTGTAAATGCACAGTATGATTTCATTTTAACTGATTGGTTAAACTAGTTACTTTTAGTATGAATAGTATGAATATGCTTAAATTGGTTGGATGGTTGAACTTGTTTTAGTATGCACAATACAGCTACACTTTAATTGATTGGAAGGTTAAACTAGATTGTTTTAGTATGCACAGTATGGTTATGCTTCAGTTTCATAGTGGGTTAATCTAGTTAAACTAGTTTGTTTGAGTATGTATTGTACAGTATGGTTATGCTTTAGCCCCATGACCGTTCAACTAGTTAAAGAAGTTTATTTTAGTATGCACAATATGGTTATGCTTCAATTGAATAACTGGTTAAACTAGTTTGTTTTCATGTGCACAATATGATTTCACTTTGATTGACTGGTTAAACTAGTTTGTTTTAGTATGCACATTATGACTTTGCTGTAATTGATTGGTTAAACTAGTTTTAATATGCACAGTATGGTTATGCTTCAGCTGAAAAGTTGGCTAAACTAGTTTGTTATACTATTCACAGTATGATTTCACTTTGATTGATTACACTAGTTTATTTTTAGTATAGAGAGTATGAATATGTTTTAATTGATTGGATGGTTGAAATTGTTTTAGTATGCACAGTATGGTTATGTTTCAGATAAATAGTTGGTGTAACTACTTTTAATATGCACGATACAGCTACACTTTAATTGATTGTATGGTTAAACTAGTAAGTTTTAGTATGAACAGTATAGTTATTATGCTTTAGTTGCATAGTTGTTAAGCTAGTTAATCTAGTTTATTTTGCTATGGACATTAAGGTTATGCTTAGTTGAATAATTGGTTAAAATAGTTAGTTTGAGTATACACAGTAGGATTATGCTTCAGCTGTTTTGGTAAGCAGAGTATGGTTAGGTGAATGATCAGTTAACTCTACCTTATGAAGTGGGATAACGAGGAACGCGCCTCCTCCCGCGCTCTCAGTGACCACGGCGAGGAATTTGGGGTTAACGGCACAGAAGTGGCTGTCATGGACGCTGTAAGTGATGGGAATTCCCTCATAACACTGTTCCCTGCTTCCCGCTTTTCCATAAACATGCCGGAACTTGGAGCTTTTGTACATGGAGTGCCACGACATCTACAAACAAACACAGCGAGAGATCACTGGTTACACAGACTAAACCAGCAGCACCAATAACACACATAATCTATTTATAGTGACACACTTTTCACGTTTAATCCCAGAAAATGATTCTTTTTTCCCATGATGAGCACTCAGTTGAACAGTTCTTGCAGGTTTCTGTTAAATGAATGCTTCTGAGGTTTCTAATGGGATGCAGAGTTTGACAGCTGCCACATCCCACATGTTCTAACGTCAGCGATCAAACAGAGAACATGACCTATTTTCCCTCGCGCCGCTCTCTCTCTCTCTCTCTCAAGCGGGTGACGTTGAATTCGGTCGGATGGCCAAGATTGTGTAACTCCATTTAATGAGTCGGAGGATTTGCAGAAGAAAGATCTGCTACATATAATCTTCTTCAGCCTCATGCACCCTATATAGTAGATGAAGAGAAACACAGAGTGAATGTTTCTCGCTCCTTTACAAGTCTAACCTGACTAACAGTCACTAAAAAGTGTGATATGATCACATGGAAATGCAAAAATGACTCTTGACTAGTAAAACACTCTTGTGTGATTCTCTCATCCTGTGGTTTGTGTTGCAGTCAGTTGCTTTTCATTGTTTGCTATTGTTTCAGCTCAATTCCTGCTTTGCCCCCGTGTGTTTCCTTCTTTTGCTCTCAAACACACGCACACTCCGACTCGAACCGAATCTTCAGGGATTCAAACACAATGGGAATCCATCCGCACCCTCTGCTCAAGAAGGGAAGTGGATTATATTAATATCTTCATATAAAGACAACACGAGCACCACTGAATGCACAACTATCACTATTTAACTCACTTATGTGGTTGTAATTGACACTAGAGCATCGGAGGAAAGAGAAAGGATTCACACACATATCCCCAGTTGTTTGTTTTCACATTTTAATACTTGCAAAAACAGTATTTTTGCCTTACTAGTAAAATGCCTTTAAAACAAGATGCATATACTAAGCAAAAAGACTTATATATTATAAGTTATTAATATTATTTTTACCCCATTAGTAAATAGTTTTTGTTTTAAGCATTAATATAATAAAATATGCTATATGGTTAAAACAAGAAAAATGTTGGTGGTTAAATATCTTTCACTACAAAACAAGATAAGAATATTATTTTGCATTGCATATAACAAAATAAAGTCAAATATCAAAGCTTTGTTCATTTTTCTAATAATATTGTGTATAATTTGTCAATAATAATGATTCAATTGGTGATATTGTGCAGTAAATAAAAAATGTGCATTTCTATCATAATTAGAAAAAATATATTCATTATAAAATATGGTCATAAAATATAATCTCATTGAGCAGTAAATAAATAAATAAAAAATTTTTAATCATAATATACTGTAATCTCATAATATATTTATATTAGATCATATTATAATCTTTTTACTCATGAAAAAATCATACTATTAAAATATGAGACTGAAAACATATTCAATATAAAAATAAGATAATAAAAACATTAGCTTTTTATTCATAATATAATCTCAAAACACAATTAGATTATAATATAATATTTTTATTCATAAAAGAATTGTGCAAAACATGTATTCATTAAAAAAAAAAAAATTTTTAAATTAATTTCCACGATTTTCTCTGGGAATCCTGCTCTCAGCCATAGACTCAACTAGTTCCTGACCATTTCTATCCAGCATCTTCATTCAAACTCTCATGTCAGTCTTCTTACCTTAACTTTGGTCATGAAGATCTGCTCTTTTTGAGCTCCAAATGATCTTCTGCTGCTGAACTAATGAAGAGAAAGACAGAGAGAGTAAATGACACACATCTGCTGCTGCTGCTGCTGTTGAGTGTGTGAGTCAAACACAAACACAAACACACACGACTCCTCCCTCATCTCTCTCTCTCTCTCTCTCTGTCTCTGTCTTTCTCTCTCTCTCTCTCTCTGGTGATTATATAACACATGCAGTGTCTGACTGTCATGCTGAAATCAGCTCTGATCTCAAGCTCAAAATGAGAGTTTTCATACACAGTATAATGTTTATAACATCTTCCTCGTTTAAAGTAAATATCTAATCAAGGACTGAAATGAAAGCTTTGCGTAAAAGCCTCTGCTAAATGAATAAATGTCCAAGTAAATGTCATCAGGACACAAATCAAAAGTGACATGAGATGAGATGAAACACCAGCCACTGCAGGTGGAAATAATGAATCATTTGTGGAATAAAAGTGGAATTAAACGTATTTTGTGAATAAAATTGAATGTTTTAGATTTTTTGGAAAGTAAACGAGACAGGGGCTAGTTGTCACAAAGTGCAATTACATAAATCTCCAGCAGTGTTGCCATTAGTTGCAAATCTAATTGTGATTTTTAAAAAAAATGAAAACTCCTCATGACTAAGTTTGAGAAGAGTAATAAATAAATAAACAAATGTAAAATAAAAAATGATTATTAAAATAAGAATCTCCCAAAATATACATTCATCATGAAAATATAATCTTTTTATTCATAATATAATCTCATAATGTAAATATATTCAATCATAATATAATATTTTTATACATTTAAAGTTGTATTAATTATTTCATAATGAGTTTACGCTCATGTCAGACTGATTCATTCACTTGATATAAAAAAAAAAACACTAATAATAAGACAAAATATAACAATGAAAACACCTAGCAACCAGCCAGACTATCCTAGCATCTGCATAGCAACATGCTGAACAGTGTTGGGGAAAGTTACTTTTAAAAGTAATGCATTACAATATTGCGTTACTCCCTAAAAAAGTAACTAATTACGTTATAAGTTACTTTTTATGGAAAGTAATATTACTTTTGCGTTACTTTCGCGTTACTTTTTAAATATGAGCAGGGCTTGATTGTTTTTAATATAAGAAGTTATATTTATAGCAAATGTAAAAGCCCTTAACACCAAAAACGGTAATGAATAAACCTCAGGCTGAAGGAAAAGTAAATTCACGTCTGTACAGTAGAACGCAGGAGAAGAAACACTCTTCAGCAATAAAAAAACAAAGCACAATTGTTAGTTTCTCTAAAGTCATTTTTGCTTATTAGTATGGTTGAACTGGATCATCAAAGGTCAGCAGCAAAGACATTGGTTAATAAAATGGGATTAGATACATTTGTGTTATTTAACATATTTAATTATTGCAGGTTTGCGTCATATTCTGAGTTTGCATTTCACTGCTTTAATTCATTTTGATGAATACTAAATCTGTTTTTTGTGAGTGGGATGAATTAATGCACATTCACATTTAGTCTAGAACTACAGTAACATCATGTTCACACAGCATACACAATGCCTCTGTACTCCCGATTTCTCCCAATATGGGGACAGGAGACTTGTCAGTCAATAAATGGGAAAACAAAGAAACTGGCATTACTTTTTTGAAAAAGTAACTCAGATATTCTCTTGTAAATTAAAAAGTAATGCGTTACTTTACTAGTTACTTGAAAAAAGTAATCTGATTACGTAACTCGCATTACTTGTAAGGAGTTACCCCCAACACTGATGCTGAAACACGTCAAACACGTGCACACACCTACACACACGCATTCGTAAACATGCACACATGCATTTTCAGGGTTAACTGTGAAACAGACCTGATCTGGCAAACACAACTCCTTCTTCATCTGGTCTGGTCTGGTCTTCATGCCGTCTGGACCAGATGAACGAAATATACGCCAAGCTTTGCTCCATGACGCCCTTCCTGTCCTGGGATTTACTGTAATAAAGACACAGATGACCGCATGTTTCAGACTGACTTCACTTCTGTTTGATGTGGCCGTTAGATGTTATTTTAGCACATCTGATTCATTTTGAGGTTTGGGTGAGTTCATTTGACGCAGGTTTAATTGCAGCAGTTTTTGGCTGTGAACATTATTAGCTGAATCACACCCACAAAGTCTATATTTAAAAGTTTATAGTGGTCTGACGTCTGCTAATCCATATTCCAGATTGTTTTATTTTCATGGCTTTTCTTTTCACATTTGCGCTCCACTTTCTTCATCATTTCTTGTTTTGGCAAATGCAAAAAAAAAAAAAAAAAAATTTGTTCTTGTTTTCCAATAGAAACACTTAAAA